GACTAAAAATCCAGCTGCCATTGAAGGAGAAGATGAATAGATCTGACTACATAAAAATGTAAAAGCAAAAACTTTTATAAGAAAAAACATTATCATAAGCAAAGTAAAATGACAAACATATCACAGACGAGTGGCTAACATCCTCAAAATATGAAGAGCTTCTAAAAGTAGAGGGAAAAGAACCAACAACTTGAAGGGGAGCTAAATAGGCCACCCAAAAATGTGTCACTTTGGCATGTGGACTGTTTTGAGCTGAAAGCAATCAAGACCCAGGAGACTCAGGAAAAGCTTTTTACCTCTCCCTTAACTGCTTAAAAGAGTTTAGATAGGGGGCCTGGCCCAGAAAGAGAGCTATAACCAGGGAGAGCTTTTTCACCTTTTTAAAAATTGTTTTTGTTTGTTTGTTGTGGCTTTTTTTTCAGGGGGAGGTAATTAAGTTTATTTATGTTAATGGCAGTACTTGGGATTGAACCCAGTACCTCACACCAGCTAGGCTAAGCGTGCATTCTAACATTGAGCTACACCTTGCCGCCCCCCCATCCCCCGGCCAAGAGCTTTTTCATCTGAAAGACTCACCTGCTTGGCAGGGCAAACATCTAATGACCAAACATCTGCTCTTCTCAGCCTCCTGTGAATTACCCACCTCCCCTTCAAGCCCCAGTACCCGAGCTCATTCCTTAGCTCAGGATGGCATATAAACCTCAATTGCACACTGCCTTTGAGTTTCATATTTTTAAGGGCTCTTACATGTCCCAAATTTGTTTTTTCTCTTGTTCATCCACCTTATGTCAATTTCACTATTAGACCAGCCAAAGAACCTAGAAGGGAAGAAGGGAAATTTTTTCCACTTCCAGACACTCAACATAAAAATTGCAAGAGATGTGAACAAACAGCTCCAGAAAGAAATGTAAAGGACCTCATCACACATACTAAGATGTTCAACTTGCCTCTCGTAACAAAAATACAAATCAAAACTATACCAAGGTAGTATTTTTTACCTATTAGGTGGGCAAAAATCCAAAAGCTTGTCAACACACTATGCTGGCAAAGCTGTGGGGAAGAAGACATTCAAGTACACTGTTGATGGGAATGCAAAACGAGGCAACTCCTACAGAGGGGAATTTAGTTGGCAATAACTAGCAAAGTTACATATACATTTCCTTTTTGGTCCAGCAATACCACTTCTTGGAAGCTATCCCAAAAAATCACTGACAAAAATACAGAAAGTGTTTGCATAGGGTTATTTATTGCAGCCCTGTTTGTAACAGCAGAAGACTAGAAACAACTCAAATGTCTAACAATAGGGGGCTGGCTGAATTAAATATGAAATACTGTGGAGCATAATAAAAGGAATGAAAAAGTGACCCCTACATATTGCCATGGAGTGATGACCAGTGTACATTTTGAAGTAGAAAAAGCAAAATGAAACTGTGTGTAGATCTGTCAACTTAAAAAATAATATTTTTAAATACTATATATCTCATCAGCCAAAAGCTTTTTAAAATGGCTATCTATGGAGGAAGGAGGAAACAGAGTGAGGAGATAGGGACAGAAACTAGGTTTCTCTGATGCACCTTGTTTTGTAGATCTGAATTCAGAACTATGTAAATATTTTATGTAAGTAAAACAAAATTAACTTGAAAAAGCATTTCCTAAAAATCAAAAGCAAGATAAAACAAAAGAATCTATCCACACAGGGAGTTAGTGGTATGATCACAGACAGAACTATTTCAAGCAACTTTAAACCACAGTAATTTTACTGTCTATCCCTAGTGAGATATACTTTGTCAATTAATGGTGACCAGCTGAGAGGTAAAGCAAATATTGATGTGTTTGGGAACTGAGATATTTGCTTGGGAGAAAGAACAGTTGTAAGATATTTGAAGTTACATAAAACGAGATTTTCTATTTTGAATTGAAAGGGGGAAGGTATAGCTCTAGTGGTAGAGTACATGCCTAGCATACAGAAAGTCCTGGGTTCAATCCCCAGTACCTCCTCTAAAACAATAAATAAAGAAACCTAATTACCTCCCTCTACAAACAAACAAAAAACAATTGAAAGTATTAGTATAAGCAAAGGATGTTATCTTTCAATACATGTGCTTGTATTTCCTTTCCATTAGAAGGCTCTAGAAGCAAGGACCAACCCAGTAGAAATGAGCATCCCTAGCTCCCTGACTGTGGTCTCTAATTGCCATTTCCATCAATAGAAATCTTGAAGAAATGTTTGGTTCTTAATCTGGAGAAGGAAATATACAAGACATGCTTGGATATCTTATCATGTCAGAAATTCAGGAACTATCAAAATCACTTAAGACTATATCGAAAGGAGGTGATGTTACCAAAGATGGGACAATTTAAACATTCATATGAATAATAAAGACAATGTACTATAATGAACTAAAGCACATCAAATATGTTTGAACCCATGACTTTATAAGGATGGTTTAAAACTGGTCACTTTGGGACCACTAGGTAGCCAATTTAATAAATTGAAAATTGCTAATAAAGAGAAATCAACATTTAGCCTGCCTTTCCTGTAGGAACCATGCCTGATCAAATGGTTGCTGAGGGAATTTCTCTTACAGAAGGAATCTAGCTAGTATATGAGCAGAATGACAGTATTTCAATATTACCATTTTGTAACCCCTAATGAAACCATGGCTTAGTCAATAATGACTAATGACTGATAACATCACCAAAAGTGAGACAAGCAGACATTATGCACATTCTGTTGGAAGTTCACAGCATTCTCTGAGGAGCCCTGCAAATACAAACACTGAATCAGGCCTCTAAGTGAAGTTACCAATTTATAGGGAATTCATTGGACAGAGGAACAAGTTACCTCAAGTATATCATCAACCAAAACCAAACTGTGGGAAACGCTACAGGAAACTCCTCCCACACACCACACGGTTTTTCCAACAAATACATTTCAAGGGAAAAAAAGAATGGGAGAGAGAATCTATACATTAAAAGAAACAGGAGAAAAATATCAACCCATGTAATGATGTATGGACTTTATTTCAATCCTGATTCAGAAAAAAATAAACTCATAAAAAAAGATATGAGACATTTGGAGGAATCTGAAAAAGATCTGAGGCTCCTAGATTCCAGGCTGTTTCCCCACTGGCCTGAGCCTGGGCTTTGCTTCTGTTGTAAGAAAAAACCACTTCAGAGCCCAGAACCACAGGGTTGGAACAGCTCCTGCAGTGGGCTCTTCGTGTGTCAGAGGAAGAGTCTAACTGCCAAGTCCACCTCTCCTGTTCCCTCCCAGTGCCCCCAGGCTCCCCTCCTACCAGGTCGACGCATCACAGAGGAGAGAACCAGGAGGGTAGAATATTTGGCTACTCAGAATGAGGTTCCAGGCAGGAGATTCTCATAAGGTGGTTCTCATACAAGCTCTTGCCCATCAAAATCACAGGTTTTGACATCATTCAGGATCCACCAAATGGACAAATTCTACGTGTGTTAAGTGGGTTGACATCCCTGATCTCAACTCTGATTTAGAAAGAGAGGTGGTTGGCTCCACGAACACCAACCCTACCACCATCACAGACTGGAGAAACTGTAAACTATGTGATACTGGATTCCATTTTTAAAAAGGTAAACCCTATTTCCAGAAAACCTGGGACTTAGCCACTATTTCTATCTATCACTACACCTACACGTGAGGTCCCTCTCTGCTCTGAGTGCTTTACCCCCTGATGTGATATGGAGAAGACATTATTTCAGGGGACAGAAGAACAAAAGAACCCAAGGAAGGGCAAGAAATGAGCAAGTCAGGAAATGTTGCCGGCACAAGAAGCCAAGAGGGCTAGAACATCAAGGCAGGTAGGAATGATAATAATTTAACATTTATTGAGTTCTTACTGCCTGCCGGGTACTGGGCTAAGTGCTTTTCACGCATCATCCCTTTTCACATGCTGGACCACTCAACCTCCTCCTCTCAAGGGAAACCTCACTCCCTCTTCTCAAGGACACATGCATCTCTTTCCTATTTTCTATTTCAAACTCCCAGTAGTTATATATAAGGGCAGCAGTTTCTGTAGCAAAGATGCTGGAGGGGCAGTCTCAGTCCAACATGGGTGGTCCGAGGTCACTGGAGGACCAAAGAGCTCCCTGATACAATCAACAAAGCTTCTTCCATTTCATGTTTAAATAGAAGCCTATCTAAAGAAATTAGATCATCATTGCAGAAATGTGCAAAAGATGCCAAGATCTTCCAGTCAGGGCTCTGTTTGACGTGACCCATGACCAGCCATTGCTCTGTTCACAGCGAGTCATCTGGCCACCCCCTCTTTTGGATCCTTTTCCAGGAAATCCAGCTGAAAAAGGCTGTTGGCCCTCTTACAATTTTATCATAGCGAGTGAGATGGAAATTTGGGTGCATTCACATGAAAGAAGTCACAAGGTAATTGGTGATTATAAAGCAACTGCATTTTTCCCATAATTTCCTAACAAGGGTCAGGCCTTGAAGACTGAATAATGACCTCATGATAATGACAGAAAAGGGAGAGGAATGTACACAGGAGGCAAAGATGTAAATTATGTTATGTGGTCCCAGTGGAGGAGCAACCTCTGAATTGTGTTTCCATTAATTTGGCCCCCCAAACCCCACCCAAACATAATTAACAATGGGACTTATCTCTAACTAGAACTAATCCAGAGCTAGAATTATTTCAGTGAATCAATGAAGCAATAATGGAGCGCATTGTGTAGCGAGGGTCTAGCTCGGTGGTAGAGCATATGCTTAGCATGCACAAGGTCCTGGGTTCAATACCGTCACCTCCATTAAATAAATAAATAAACAAACAAACAAACCTAATTACCCACCTCTAAAGTTTTTTTTAAAAATCCACTCACATGGATATGGTCTTTTATATGAAGTGATTCCCAGGAGCTTGGGTAATTGGATTAGTACATGACGTATTATCAACAACAACAATAACAAAATGAAACGCACAGCTTTATTGCTTGTTTGTGTCTCCTTGATACAGATATTTATTCAGTACAGTTAACACGTGGCATCTGCAAATTCAACACTCGGCTGCTTCAACTGTCAATCAAGACCCCCAAAGTGTGGGAATGCACAGTTTGGCTGCAGCACAGACAAGAACAGTGCTGCCCAGCTGGGTACCGCTGAGTGAGGAGAACCCACCACCCAGCTTCCCAAAGTAGCTTTGTGATTCTCAGTGAATGGTCCAGCAGGCAGAAACCTACTGGAAAAAAGTTGTTTTCAAAACCTTGTTGCGGGTGGGGTAAAGCTCAGTGGTAGAGTACTTGCTCAGCATGCACGAGGTCCTGGGTTCAATCCCCAGTACCTCCATTAAAAAAGAAGAAAAAAACTTTGTTTCTTTGCATAAATTACTCCCCATCCCCACCCAAAGGCTATCATTAACCCTGGTGATAGAAGTAATGAAAATGTAAAGAGTTGTGAGAAAGTTTTTTTTCTTTCAGGAATTGTAATTCGAGGTAGATCAAAGACGGGTGTTTTCAAAATGTTATGATAACTCACAGAGGAAAAAAATGTGACAATGAGTGTGTATATGTCCATGAATGACTGAAAAATTGTGCTGAACACTGGAATTTGACACAACATTGTAAAATGATTATAAGTCAATAAAAAATGTTAAAAAAAAAAAAGATGGGTGTTTTGATCTTG